TCTCTCTCTCTCTCTCTCTCTCTCTCTCTCTCTCTCTCTCTCTCTCTCTCTCTCTCTCTCTCTCTCTCTCTCTCTCCCCAAAAAGCATACTCCACTGATAATACTTTGCACCACAACCTTTGTACGTGTCTCCGTCACGATGTTCATTGGTCTTCCTCTGTTCCTCTTGCCCTGGTAATTAATTAAACTGCTGCTGGTTATACAATCGAAGGGGGCTCTCGTTACCTGCATGTTAAGGTGTTCGCCTCTCATTCAAAGCTCCCGGGTTCGAATCCGGAGGGCAACGGAAGATTTTCTCCTCTAAAAGTGTCTCCTTTCACATCCTTTCCTGCGCTCTAACAATGTTCTGTTGTCTGCTTTCGTGTCCATTTTCTGCCCCTACCCCTCACCTATCCTTTGCTCCCTCCTCTGGGCTCCTGACTCTTTCCGCAGTCTTTCTACTGCTACTCCTTGGCTCCTTCTTAGTGTTGTCTTTCAGTAACACCCATCATCTTAGGGTACTACACCTAACCTTCTCATGCAAGGCCAGGGCGAAAAATCTCGGAGGTCCCGTGTGGAATTTGCGCACGATGAACATCCCATGGTGGTCTAAAATCGATAAAAGGAGGCTTTGGCAGCCACCAAGCCAAAATTCAAAATTTCCTACCGACTGAAAATGTTTGGGGTGTCCCGCGCGCCCAGTTGCGAGCGCCTTAAAACACTTACCTAAAAAAAAATTAAAAAATTTTTCGTTGGCCTTCCTCTGTTCCTCAGGCCCTGGAAATTAATTACACTGCTGCTGATATGCTGTCGAGCCTATCCAGGTTGACCACCCAAAGGAGAAAAGTGGCTATCTTAGTCCGAAATATTCTTGAGGATCTGCCGAAGGCGGCATGCACTAGTTTTCGCGAACCAGTCAATCACCTCGTCGTTGATAACAACGGTTTTGAATAGTGTGCTTGCTGCCTTTCATGGGTAGAAGATGAACTTGTCCACCGCTTTCAGTTGTTTGTTTTAGTAAGAGTTTTACGGCGCTCGAAATACCCACATAAGGTCATCTGAGCGCGCGAAAGACAATTTGGTTGCATTCACAACAGTTCACAGCCCAGCTTGGCGCGGGTCAACGATCAGGTTTTAAAATGTTAAAAAATTAGAGGTAAAATAACAATATAAGATAGCCTGCTTAAAATCAAAATAACTGCTTTTACAATTTACCGTAAAAGCCAATTAATTATGGCCTTCCGCTAATTTTAATGACTGGTTCAACGTATGGCTTTTCCGGGGCTGACTTAATTGTTGATACCACATATTCTGGTTTTGCCATGCTGACTTTTTGGGCCAAGTTGTTGCACACAGCAGTGAAGTTGTCAATACTATGTTGTATCTTGACTCTTGACTTCTGAGACAGCACAGCGTTGAGGACATTATAGTCGTCGCTAAGACAAGAGGTCATTGACATTGTCAGTTGAAACTCTTAGTTTTTTACTTGACGTCTCTTATGGCTGAAGACCAAGGAGTTTAGAACTTTTAATCTTCTTGCTGAAGACCGATCTATTATATTATATATTATTATTTATATAAAATTATATTTCGGCTTCACTTCCGGTTATTAGTGTTTATCGGAAACATAGTTTACATAGACTTTTTTTTTTTACCCACTCCGTACGCCCGGAGGTCATTATTGTACACCCGGGGTTGTATTCTTCACATTTTAGAATACTTCTAGATCTAGATCTAGTACCAAGATCTCTTTGAAACTTTCAGTATTTCTCAAAAAATCATGTTGACAGACTGCTATGCAAAGAGTACGGATCAGATTAACGAGTAAATTTCCTCTTTGGAAAGTGGTGGCACAGAGTTCCCCACGTCGTATGGATACGATAGTAAAACACGACGTACGGATAAGGTTAATTATAATTCAAGTCTTTGGGCGGAAAACAAGTCAACGAATCTTCGAAAGTATAAAAATTTTATGACTGCTACACTTAGCTACCAACCACACACGTAAATTTAATGAAGAAAGCCAGTTTGTACAATGACTTTTACTCCACAATGCTTTTTTTGTTGTTGTTGTTTTTTATAAGCCTATCGATTTTTATATTACTTGAGAATTGCTATCTTTTATTTAAAGTCTTCAATTTTGTAGGTGTAAATAAATACCTCATGGCTTGAACATTTATCTTTACATTAGCAATTATCTTTAAAAAAAGACTTTTGGATGCACACATACCTGGCAATAAATTCACTCACACACAACAACACACGAAACACATGCTTTCTCTCTCTCTCTTGGACCTTGGTAGAATGTGTCTGCTAGGAAACCATATAGATTTAGAATCTAGATAGAGTCTAGATCTATATTCGATACTACTCTAGATTAGTAGAAATCTAGGTTGCGGTTGTGTGTTTGTTGAGCATTAATTTAACCTGTACTGTGTACTGCAGTGTACATTGCAGATCTATTGTTTGAGACGTCCAGTTCCTGTAGTCCTGTAGACTAGGCCCCCCTTTTTGAAAATGTCGCAAGAGAATGATATTGATATGTCAACTTTTGAAAGCTTTTTACAAGTTCATCGACAGCAGTTGGAATCATCGAATGTGCCAGTTCATTACTGGCAAACCCTGTTCCTCAAGCTAAAACATGAGGTAGCCTCCTAATGTTCATCAACTCGCCTTTCGTTTTGGAAAGACTTCCGTAACGAGCGACCACCCAAACGAATAAATACAATAAAGAAGAGACGTAACCCCTACCCCTACCCTTACCCCTACCCCTACCCCTAACCCTCTATTCTACTCTGTTACATAGTATAGTGGTCACTCATTACGGAATTCCTCGCTTTCTTTGCTCAATTTAGGGAGGCCTTGTAAAGAGGTAAAAGATAGATCGAGATATTTAGACATTTCATTAGTTCTGTGAAATGAAATGGCAGCCAACAAAGTGCCATAAATAATAATTTGTTGCCAGGGATTTAGATCTAGATAGTCATCCTCACCACAGCAGTAATTGTAACTGGTTCCCTTGATGAACTCTGTTGAATCGAAACCAAGACAAATTAAATAGAGTTACATAAACTGAGCCCTAATGCCACAAAGCCAACGGCCAAGCCATGGACTGACTAGTCTTGTTTTTGTCTTCTGAACTTTTGTATCCCTATTTCGGTACTAGATCTAGATCTACTTAAGAATCTGGGCCCCGTTTGGGGATACTAGTTTTTACCCCACAGACAATTACTTCTACTTCTAAACGATTACTTTTTGATGCGCATGCCGATATGGAGAGATAACCTATCAAACCTAATTGCAAAATATCAAATTATGGTCAAATTCAGGGGAGCATGCCCCCTGAAACCCCCTTCCATGTTTTTGTTAGTCCCCCCCTGAAACCCCCCTTGCCTTGTTAAAAAAACAAGTGAAGTTTTACTGCTCATTTTGTAGGCATGCTAGATCTGCACATGAAACATTGATACTGATACTTTAATCAGTATGTATATCCAGTAGTCTGTGTAGATGATGCCAAGTCTAAACAGACGGGACCCAGATTCTTAAGTTGTATCCTAATTCCTACTCTTTTTAAGTTGTTGTTCAGGGGTTTTCTGAGGGGGATCGAGTTGTAAGGTTACAAGAAGAATCAGTTGAAGAAAGTCGGTTGTACCTCAGACAGGTTACCCAGAAGACAATGTTTCTCATTTTGTTTAATAACTCCTTCTCTCCGGCAAACCGCTCCCAGTTTTGTGGTACTAATCATGTAGCTCTTTTGAGTGGACAAAATGTTATATGTACGAGAAGAATCTTATGTTGTTTAGATCTTTTATGCATAGATCTATATCTATGTGCATGCAGTCAGTATTTAATTTGAAAATTGTTTTTTAAACGTTTGCAGGTTATAATGAGACAGTTTCTCTTAACTGGGTTGTACAGGGTCCCCACAGGGTCGGGAAATCGGGAAAAAGTCGGGAATTTTGAAATGGGTCGGGAGGTCGGGAAAAAGTCGGGAATTTTGTGATGGGTGGGTAAGTCGGGAAAGGATAGGGCCTGTGTAATGTGTAGCTATCTAGACTGTATGGTTGATGAATCCTGAAGAGGAAACGTAATTGAACCGCTGTGGCGGAAGTGTATGTGTGACACCGAGGCTCGATCGGGAAGAATCAAGATCTACTTTCGCTTTCGTTACCGCCCAGAAATTTT